AGGCCCTCCCCCCCCCCAGGCAGGAACAAGTCGGGCGTCGGTGGCGCATGAGTTGACACCGCCGCCAGGGTCGGGGGCTGGCTCCGCCCTGGGAGGACAACCTCCGATCTCGGGTGGTGGTGGTGGTGGTGGTAGTGCTCAGCCATCTGCTGAAGAGGCTTACGACTTGACACCAACACCAGGGTCGCGGGTCGGCCTGCCCAGATTGAGGTGACGATTGATCTTGGTGGTGGTGCCAGGGTGCAGGCCTCCTAGAAGGGATGCTTGCAGTCGTCACTTCCTCTCGCTGTCGAAGACGGGTGCATTGACGCTGGTTGCCTCGGCGTTACTGCAGCCCATTCGCCCGAGCTGCCAGAAGCGTCTCCACAGTTGCTCTCGCGCACTCGCTGCCGACGCCTCTTGCCGCCCAGACAAAATGTGATAACCACTATGTGCTCGGCAACTTTGGCTTCTTGTTGTTCCTGGGCATGGTGCAGTTTTCGCCCGTCTGGATAAGGACGAGGTAACCCTCCAAATTTGCACCCGCATGCTCGCCATGTCGGCCCAATTTGGTGGGCCAGTCCCTGAGGTTGTGCGAGGGGGTCGGGGGTTGCCCAATTATACCTTCAGGGAGTTCCGAGGGTCTTGCACCCTTGCCTTGTGCGGCGACTGTCTATCTGGTCGTTCCTGGGCAGCGTGCTTCGGTGGGGCGGCCAGCCTACCGTGGGCGCGCACCTTTGTTGGCGGACCGCGCTTAAGTTCGCGCGCGCGCGGCCGAACTGGACGTGCGCTTGCTGTGTCGCGATCACTGCCGGCTCTTCCCATCCAATTGCGGCGAGCTCCACCTTTCTAGGCGTAGGAGGAGGAACAGAAGGAGGAGCGGGAGTCAAGTGAAACAGATCGAGCGGGCCAGTGGGCCCCGCCGAACCCAATCTTCGAGCCGACCTCGCCACAGCCCCCCAAAATCACCAGTTGGCCAAGGGTCTGGCCTCATCGATGCGTGAACCCCGACTCGAAGTTGACGCGACGTGGGGCGTGTCTGCCCGAGATGAGCCACGCGCAGAGGGGGCTAGGGGGAGGGGGACGGCTTAGAAGCACTCTGCTTTTTGGAACGCGGAGCTTGTCTGTAGATGTAGGGGCCGGCGCCTTCGAAAAAGCAGCCTCCTTCTAAGAAGCCTGCCCGCCCCTCTCCCTACCCCCCTGTGTTCGCCGCCAACGAGCGGCGAAGTCAGGGCGGCCGTCCGAAAAGTGCACCGTTCTGCCCCCCCAGCGCACGCCCGGCGAGGAGACCAGGCGGCGGCGAGGGCAGGGCCGGGCGGCAGCGGGGAGAGAGGGAGGGGACGGAGCCAGGACGAGGATAAGATCGGGTGGGAATAAATGGGGAATCTCTGAGATCCGGCGGCTCTGGAGGATGTCTCGGGGGCCGCGGCCCTCTCAGAGCGTTCCGGAACGCTCTGACAGCGTTCCGGACCGCTCTGGAACGGATTTGTCCTCGTCTTCGCCCCGCCCGAGGGAGGAGTGCCAGGGGCGGGCCTCGCGTAATGGGGGGGGCGATGCATGGGGGGCAGCGAGGGCTGCGGAAAAGGCGCTCTGTTGGGCCCCTAAAAGGACCTTTTAGGACCCCCTGTAGGGCTTGAAAAGTGCACCTTCCCCCCCCCCGCTCATTTAATCGCCCCCCCAGTAAGAAACGCCTGGCGCACGCCCAGCGAGGAGACCGGGCGGCGGCGAGGGCAGGGCAGCGCGGCAGTGGGGCTCTGGGCCTCCCAGATGGCGTCGCAGTAGATGGGGTCGGAGGGTCGCGCCGCATCGCATCGCCGATGCATCGGCAATGCGGCTCGATGCAGAGCCCGATTTTCTCCACGCCGACTTCGCCGATGCATCCACGCGACGTCGGTGATGCAGCAGCGCACGCCCAGCGAGGAGACTGGGCGGCGGCGAGGGCAGGGCAGGGCGGCAGCGGCGAGGGAGGGAGGAATGCCGTCGGACGGGGCTAGGGCTTGGGCGAGGACAAATCCGTCCGCTGCTCTTCGCCGTGGCCGCCGACCTCCTCCTGCGGCGCCTTGGCAGGGAGTTTCCGACAGCAGTGCGGCGCGCTTATGCGGACGATCTGGCTTTGGTCATCCCGCAGGGCGCAGCCGCCGCCGGGTTGCTCGAGACGCTCTTCGACGAATATGCTGCCATCTCAGGCCTCCGCTTGAACATAGGCAAGACGTACTGGGTGCCGCTCCGGACCGGCGACCCCGAAGACGCGCGCGCCGCCGTCACGGCGGGCGCGCCCTCCTGGGGCGGAGTACGTTTTGCGCATTGTGCAAAATATCTCGGGTTCGTCTTGGGACCGAGTCGCGGCGAGCACGGCTGGGACGCCGCTTGCGCGAAGTTCAAGAAGCGGGCACAGGGGTGGGGCCGCTCCGGAGGCGGGATGTGCACGAACACGGTGGCCTACTCGGTGTATGCATTCTCGACCTTGAGTTTCCTGGCGCAACTGGACGCCCCACCGGCGCAGTGGCCAAAACTGGAGGCCGACGCGATGCAGTTTTTCTTTACCCTGGCCCTTTCCGCTGGGCGCCGCCAGCCGCCGTGCACGGCCTGCCGCTTCTGGGATTCCCTGCTTCTCTTCCAGATCTCCCCGCGATGGCCCTGGCGTCGAAATACCGGGTATGCCGGTGGGAGGCGGCCTCGGAGGGCGGTCTCCGCGTGGCCGAGCGGGCTGCCCGGCTTCGCGAGGCACGGTTGTGCTCTTCCCAGTCGCTGGAGCGTCTCGGCGCTTGGGGCCCATGGTTCGACCAGGCGTTCGTCCTCCAGCTGGACGCTGCCCGGCGATCATTCGAGGCGCGCGGTCTGACGCACTCGCGAGTGGCCCGCGCCACGGGGGTCAGCAGCAGCGATCGACAGCGCAGGGTCTGGCAGCGCACCTGCACGCGGCTGATCACTCCCGATCGCTCTCCCGAGCTGCGTGCTTTTCTGCAGGCGAGATTATCGCGGTGGGAGAGCGGCCTGTCCGTGGGAACCATGGTGGACAGGGTGCTGACGACGCTCCCCGCGGTGGCCCGGACGTGCCCTCCGCGGGCGCTGGCCGCTTGCATCCGGTCACTCTGGAATGGCTGGGTCACACGCCGCCGCTTCCAGGTGCGGTCGGCGTGCTACTTCGGCTGCGCAGCCGGGGAAGATTCCATCGAGCGTTACGCAGAGTGCCCACACGTGTCCGCAGCAGTGTATCGCGAAGTGGGCATCGCGCGCCCGACCACACCAGAACTACGCCTGGCCAGCTTCCTGCTGCTCGAGCCGGCGTACTCCGAGGACATTGCACCAGCGCTGCGACGCCGTGCTCTGGCCACGTGCGGGGTGTACCTCACGCACTGTTGGGCCCGCCACTCGGCCGCCAGCGGGCCGTTTGAGTGCCGCAACGCACTGAGGCTGAAACTCCGAGAACTAGTCCGATGATGATTGTAGTGCCGATTCCTCCATCCTCTTCCCGCGCGTTCATGTTTTGGTCGTCTAGCCCGCCGCTCTGCTCCAGGCAGTGCGTCGCAGGCAGCGTGGCGACCGCCAGGGTTGCAGTGCTTCCCGTGTCTATGAGGCCATTGTTCTGACACATAGCTCATATGCCGATTTTGCCTTCGCGCTGCCCGTTTCACACGGCATGCCCCAGCGCGCTCGCGCGTGCAGGAAGCTTCGCGGCCGTGGGTGCCGAGAACGCCGACAGCGCCCGTTCTGGGCGCACCGTCGCCCTCCTCCGCTCCGTTCCCTCCGCTTCGTCTTCCTCCCTCCGAATCGTGGCGCCGATCGGCGGCCCCGCGCCGCCAGGTCCATCCGCGGCTGTGGAGGCCCAGAGGGGGCATGCGAGTTCCGCCTCGTGCGAGCTCCGCCGCTTTCAGGGGCCTCCGGACCCGCGCGGGGCAGCCTAGCTGGCGGGGCACTGGGGGCCGCTAAGGCCCAGGCCGCTCGACAGGAGCGCAAAATCGTCTTTCTCCCCCCCTTCCTCCTCCTCCCCCCCCTCCCCCTCTGAGATGAATGTCGGCCTTGTTAGAGCTTATGAGCTTTATATCGAATTGCTAAGGTGATTACAGCGTGCTAAGATCCCTCTTGCAAACCAGCAGCATCATGCTATAGCTACAAGGCTGGTTTATCATACTCAGCTAAAGTCATCCTTGACTTTAGTAAGACAACATAAGCTGTGTAATAGGTTTAGCGAATGTTCGGTAGGATATGGTTTAGCGTAGCGTATCTTCCATAGGTGTGATATCCTACTTATCTTAAGTTATCATAGATGCTCAAAGTAGGTTAACATAGATGCTCAGAACAGGTTAGCATAAAAAACACTTTTGCTCAAATTGGGGCTTGGCCTATGCAAAAGTGGTAACAAACAAAGATTTCGTGTTTAACATGTAGCTCCCCACGTTTTTAACATGTTACACCGTTGCAAAACACACTTCCAAACCGCATGGACATGAACGCTAACATACAGAATTTGGAACTAATATGTTGGGGCCCAGACAACATTTCCGAATGCATCCGTCGGTCAATAAATCTCGGGGAAACAGCGCCCATCGGATCTGCATCATCGTTCGGTGGGCTCAACATCAACATGCAGAGCGCGCGCGCAAAAACATTTTCAGAAAATGAACTTTGAGTTTGTGGGTAAGAGCGGGGGGCATGCGAGCGATTCGGTAGTTGATGAGCATCGAGTTAGGCAAATGTTGCGTTTGCCATCCGTTGTTTGCATAGCCTCCTCGGCTCAAAGCATCCGCTGCTAGCTCCCAGCTGCCCGCGCAGCACCATGGCTCAGCTTGCCGAAGCTTTCAAACGTGAGTTCACAAGGATGCTGGATTCAAAAAAATGCGAAGGCGAACGAGCATATGGACATGCTAATGGGATGCCTTCGCAAGCACAAGTTGGTGCACCGCGTGGACAACACCCCTCCAAAATTATCTCTCACGCACAGTTCAAATCGGGGGGGGCTTCTGTTGAGCCCGCACAATGCGCATTGCAGTGCTGCTCGGATCCACGCAGCTGGGGCCGACATGCGCCAGCTATCGAATGCCGCGCGCATCGAGCTTGGGATTAATCCCCCCCTCCGTTGGCAGCACGTTGCTAAGAATAAGTCGTTGGTGGGCCGGGCCCAAGGGCTACTGGCGCCAGTTAATGGCTCTGAGCGATACGTGACAATCGGGCGCGGACACACCGCGGCTTTTTGCAAGCAGGCAGGGGTGCAGGGCAGGGCGTCTGAGACGGCGTTACAAATGCTTAATTCAGATCTGATTGACGTGCAGAAGTTGTGCCAGAACGCGCAATTCAAACTCATGGTTGAGAAAGGCTGGGCGTGGGAGGTGGTCCCAAGTATCATTGGCGAGCTTTTCCCAGGCTTTGCCCATGTAGCCCAGGAAGCTTTGAACACCCAGAATCACATCGGCACGGAGGTCGGAGAGCTGGAGACTTGCATGACTTCGGCGGCGAGTGCCAATGACCCAGGGATGCGCGAGCTCGCGGGCTGGAAGGATACGGCTATCGAGAACGTAGTTTCGCTCAACGTGCCGAGCGCAAAATACAGCAAGACCTTGCTTGACTTCGTCGGAAATTTCGGCGGTGGCGACGGCGCTCCCCTTGTTTCGTTCATGGACTCTGTTGCAAAGCAACGTGGTTGCAACGCTACGCTGGGGCAAACTCCTTGGGAAGCGCTGGCCCACGCAGTTTTCGCATCGAAGACCAACCTGCATCCTTTGATTCGGGTGGCGGTTGCAATTGCAAACCTCACGGGCGACAAGGTTGAGGACGGCGTGGCGCGCTTGTTCGTGAAGAATGACGTCGCGAAGCTTGCCGGCAAGCCTAAGATGGCTGAAGCAGGTGCTGCTGAGCGAATTCTTGACGAAGCCATGGGCGTCGCAAAGGGGCTCGGCGGCATCGATGCGGCGTTGGAGCCGTTAGGGCAGCTATTCGTGAGGGCTGCGTTAAAGCTCGCGGGAAAGGAGAGGATGGGCCGGGAGGGCAAAGAGTGCAAGTGGGGCGACATTCGCAACGCATTCTTGCACAGCCTCAGCTGCCTTAAGGGTCGGGCCATCACGTTCGACGAGTGACTAAGCATGCTGTCTCGAGCGTTGCCACCTCTGCGTCAGCGAAGCCGACTGCAGCCAGCGCGGCGACGCTCGACGACCACAAGGACCCGACATGGATTGCCAAGAGGGCTGGGTATTCGGCCGGGCTCTTCGCAGTCCAGAAGGCCATTGCACCTTCAGCCCAGAGGGTTTACACTATCTTCAGCACCGGCCAGACCGTCAAGCTCCACGAAGCTGTCAAGCGCGACGCGGACCGAGAGCCACACACGGCTGAGATTACCTTGGCCGATCTTCTTGAGCAGTGGGTTGTTTCGAAAGTTGAGCCGCCAAGGCAGATGGGCGGTGATCAGCAGCGCCCGCAGCAGCTGTACATCGACAAGCAGAAGGCTGCTTTGTACCGAGCCCTCCTCGAGCTAGATGCTAAGCACCTGGGCAAGCATAAGCTGGCCTTCTGGCGGAAGCCAGATGAGGTTCGGACCACGAGCGCGATCAAGCAGGGTCAGCTTACTTTGGTACCAGCGGCACCATTTATCAACATAAGCACGAAGAACGCTGGGTCTGGCATTTCACTTGGCGATCACGCAATTGACAGCGATACCACGCTTGAGTTGTTCGTGCTGCCTGTGGCGAGGCCGCGCGACAATGGTGCCACCAAGTTTCACGAAGCCGCATTCGTGGCTGCACACTGGTGGGTCGGGACAACCTTCTATAATAAGCAAGCCAATATGGCTTCGAGGCATGTGCCACACGGTGGCTTCATGTTGCCTGTGCTGACCAACGCTGTCGACGTCGGGCCCAACGTAAAGCTCCAGATGTTCGTCAAGCCAAAGGCTAAGGCGGCGCCGATCCACGAGCAGAGCGCTAGCGCCAAGAAGCAGAAGAAGTCTTGAGCAACATTCAGCATTCACGGATGCTAGTCAGGGGCGTGGTTTGCATCACATTTGTTCTTTTATCTCGAGCTCGATATCCCAGTATAGGCTGTCGCGCCGTAGAGAGGGGGTAGTAGATGGTGGGCGGAGGGAGCAGAGGAGAGCGCTTAAGGAGGATATCTGACGAGGACGAGGGTGGAGGCAGAGCTGTTGCCCCGCCGGCCAGCGCGAAGCTTCGACGTCGGACATCGTTTTGCGTGCAAACGGGCATGCAGATCAGCCGTGCGCTTATCAGGCAGTTGGTGCAGTCGTTGCCAGCAACCGCACCTGCACCACCGAAAAAAAAGTTTGAATAACGCGCCCCCCGATGCCACGATGCGCATTTAATTGTGGGGCTTCAGAATGTATGGGCGAGATGCGGCGAGAGCCGTTGCATTTCACCATCTGATCGGCCGCAGCGGAGCGCGCCTCAGGTGCTTCATCTGACTCATGACCAGCAACCCTTGGGCATGCAACCGTCCGCCTCATGCATTCCCTTATGCCCGCGCGCTCTCCCCTCTCATTTGTCACTGTGCCCTCGGCGACGGTTAGGGCGGAACCGAGCGAGGACGCGCAAGAGGGGGGGGGGCATAGAGGGGGGATGGCGCGTTGGCGGGGAGAAGGAGAATGAGAGAGGGGGAGATAGATAGAGAGAGAGAGAGAGAGAGAAACAAACATACAGAGGGAGAGAGAGCGAGAGAGAGAGAGAGAGAGAGAGAGAGCGAGAGCTAGAGAGAGAGAGAGAGAGAGAGAGAGAGAGAGAGAGAGAGCCGAGATAACGAAACTGCGGGTTAGAAGCAAGGTGTAGAAGACGTCCATGACTTGCGCGACGGGTTGTAGCTAATCTGCGATGCCATGCGAGCGGCCCTCTTGGGTTCACCATTCGCCGTCCAGGTGCCACCCAGATCGACGATATGCTATGCCATGCCATGCTTACGCAGGTCCTTATAAGGCCCTCGCGGCTCTGCTCATGGCCGTTCAAGGACTGCCCCGACCGACGACGTGCTATGCCGCGCAGTGCCGATGCACGTTCGCCTTAACCCCCTCCCTCCTCCTTCTTCTTGCTCCGTGGCCTCTCTCGATCAGATCCCGTCTCAGCCCGCGGCCTCATGGCGCCATCCACTTCGCGTTGCATTTCTACGAAGCAATCGAATGTCAGCCGTTTGGCTCAGGCGATCAGGCGAGATAGCCTTTGCATCTGTTGCCAGCGGCATGCAGAATGCAACGCTTGAGCTTTCCCGCACCGTCAAGCTGGATGGGATAACGCCAGCTTGGAGGATTTTCAAGCCAACTGATATGGTTGCAGCTGGTGACGAAACATTTGTCCGTATCTCGCCAGCACAGTATATGTTGAACAGCCTTTTGGCTTATAAAAACGACGAAGTCCCATCGGGACTTGAGCAACAGGCAGTCGCTATGAGCAGGGCGCTGAAGGCGTTGCTAGCCCAGCGGAATGATCAGCAGCCGGCGGAGCTCAAGCAGGATCACACCCAGCCCGCGTGCAGCTTGTTTCAAACGCCACCGAAGCACACGAAGATCGTGGGGTCCCATGCCCAGAAGGCTGACCTGAGGCGAGAGCCTGATGTCATGTGCATGGACGTGGTAGTGAACGAGCGTGTTGTCCACGTTGACGTTCTTAGGCCGATTCATCCATGTGACAACCTCTTCGATGTGTACAAGCCTGAGGCCTCGGCTGCGGTGCTTCACGCCATGGGGAACTTGGTTTTCGATGAGCCGCCGAAGCGAGAGCGCTTGCCTGATTTGCCCAAGGGTGTCCGCAAGAGGAACGGCTTCGTACTTGCCAAGTTTGCAAAGCACGATGGCTCGAACGGCTACAAGAAGTGCAAGACCGTTGAGGATGGTATCTCGTTCCTAGCGGCTGATCACCACGAGCAGCGCGAAGATGCTCAGTGCGAAGAGGTTTCGCCGAGTGAGATTCCCGACGGCATTGCGCCTGTAGGCTTAGACCCAGTCCATGGCTGACAAGTTTGCAAGTATACGTACTAAGCCAACATGCTGACAGCACCCGCATGATTTGGGGTCTGCGGGCTTCGCTATATGGATTCGCGAGTTGCCGATTAAGAAAACACAGGCACCCATTGCTCATCCAGCCGATTTGCTGCATTGATGCGCTGCTGCTTGTACTTGGCGGGGGGGGGGGGGGGTCGGGGAGCACCATCGTAGTATAGCCGCTCTGGCTCAGCAGTGCATCGCGCCATCGCAGGCAGTCTCATCAAGCCGATTGGCTTCGTCTCGCCATCGCGCCGTGGCTCCCAGGGCGCGCCAGGACAGCCCAGCGGTGCTGAAGCAGAAGCTCGCTGACATGCGGGCCGACCGCAACCGCCACAGGGAGCGCGCGGACGCGCTGGAGAGGTTCGTCGCCGTCATCGCCAATAAGAGCGAGGCCAAGAAGCACGTGAACAGGATCTTCGTGGACGTGCGCAAGTTGTGGGTCTCGCGCGCAAGCACCGGAGTGCAGTGCAAGCCGACGGTGCTCGGGCGGCTCAAGAGGCTCTCGCATCTCCCCGAAGTCGTAGAGGCTAAGGACACGGGCGACGACGACGACGATTTGTCCCAGTTAATGTTTTCGGGCTCAAGCTCAGCGAGCTAGCCGGCTGTGCAGCTGAGAACGGGCTGCCCGTGGGCAGCGACTGCCGCGGTGGACAGTGATCGTTGCTGTGGGCTGTTGCCGCTGTAGGGCGGGCGCCGCCCACGGCGGCGGCGACGCCCACAACGGCCCATGAAGATGCCGACAATGACGACCACAGCCCACCGTCCATAAGCTTCAGTTGCTCATTCTTGAGGTGCCATGCGAGTTCCCGCATCATGATGCGCGCCATATAGTTCAGAAGGTGTTCTTTTTTTTGCATCACGTTGCGCTGCTGATCCTGTTGCGGGTGAGGAGGAGAAGGGCGGATGGGGAGAATGAGGAAGAGTTCTGCGACGCATGCACCATGCATTTGGGACGAACCTCAATATGCTACGCTACATGCAATGTTATGCCATGCGTTTCGCTGGCGTGTGTAAAGCAATGTTGCTATATAGGCCCACCCTAGCCCCAAACCCAACATGTTCTCAGCAATCGAGCTATTCCAGATCGCATGTGCCGCCGTTCTCCTCACCCACCTCCCCCCTTCTTCTCCTGGCTCCGCGTCCTCCCTCACTCATCTCATGGGGTGGCCACCCACCTCGCCCCCCCCCCCCCCCCCCCTCCATGCATCGTCAGCGCGAAGTCGGGGGAGGGGGTGGACAAGAGTGCGAGCTGCACTGCAGCGCGAGGAAGGCTTCGTTCCACAAGAACGTGTAGATACGCCAATCAGAATCCCCCCTTAAAGTCCACAAGGGGCCCCCGCTATAGGAACATGAGTCCGGACATATGGGATGTCATGACGGCGGCTCAATCCTAAGGTTGTTCTGACATGCGTGTGGCCCGATTCAATGCTATGCTATACTGTGGCGTTCTAGGACACGTTCCGCAAACTTCATAATGACAGTTTGTCAAACAGTTGCATTCAATGTACGTATGGTGTCGTTCTCCTCACTCACCTCCCTCCTCCTTCTCCTGGCTCAGTGTCCTCCCTCACTCGTCTCATGGGGTGGCCCCACACCTCACCCCTCTCCATATGTAGTCGTCCACAGCAGGCCACGTGCAGCATATGCCGCTCAACCGGATGACAAACATGTCAAGCATGATGGCAAGCCACATGCCATGGACATGGGTAGCCCTCGACGCCCTTATAGAGCCATAGCGGGCACCCGATGTTAGGTCTCATTGGGGCCTCGGGCGTCAGAAACCCCACGCGGCCAACGCCGCACATCCAAGACATGTGACCCCGATGGCCCCCAACCCATGCATGACTTCCATGCCCCCCCCCCCCCCGCGCCCCCTCCCTCCTAACGCCTCCTCCATGGCAGCCGTTTTGGCTGCAAGCGCGAAGCCGTGCTTCGCGCAGCTGCTGCATCGCGGCGGCGCCTGCATCGCGGCGGCGCCTGCGTCGCGAGGCGACTGCATCGCGAGGCGACTGCGTCGCGGAGGCGATTGCGTCGCGGAGGCGACTGCTCCGCGTAGGCGACTGCGTCGCGAGGGCGACTGCATCGCGAGGGCGACTGCATCGTGAGGGCGACTGCATCGCGGAGGCCTTCGCATCGCGGAGGCGACTGCATCGCGGAAGACATGGCCGATGTCTTTCGCACGGACTTGGTGCTCGAGCGCAGGCTGCAGCGCCCGCAGCAGCCCGATGGCCCGCCGCCCACCAAGCTTCGCCTCACCGTGGCTGAGCCTGCGGCGCTGTGCGATATGCATCCCTTCGACAAGGTCGCGCAGGCGGAGTTCAGTCCGTTCAGGCACGCCACATTGGTCGTGATGACGGACGATGTGGCCAACTCCGAGTTCCTCTCGTCGTGCGACGAGGCCACGTTGCGGAGCGCGCAGACGTGCTCGGGCCTCTACTTCAGCACTGGCGTCGAGCACGGTGGCGGCTACGCGTGGAAGAGCGTCCACAAGACGGACGTCCGCGGTGAGGCCGCCCACGCGCGCATCTTCCACACCGATGACGGCTGGCACGGCAGCGACAAGATGTGGTCGACTGTTGCTGAGAGGAAGAAGTGCCAGTATGGGGCCAACATCTTCTTCTGGGGCGACGACTCGGGGGCCGAGTTCGAGGATGCCCCGACGACGGCGTTGCACTTCCCCCGATGGCTTGCAGATCATGAGCTGCCGGGCGGCGCATGAGGCGCTGCTCCTGCAGAAGCCCGACGGCGGTGGTGGAGGCGACGCGGGCAGCTCTGGCGCCAAGAGCGCCACGGGCAAAGGCGGCGGTGGAGGCGACGCGGACAGCTCCATGGGCGGCGGTGTAAGCGACGCGGACAGCTCCATCATGGGCGGTGGTGGAGGCGACGCGGGCAGCTGGAAGGGCGGCGGGAAAGGCGACGCGGACAGCTGGGAGGGCGGCTGGAAGAAGGCGCCACGCTGCAAAGGCGGCCACGGCGGCTGGATGCCGAGGTGTGCGACCTTGATCAGCTGCTACCAGAGGGCCGACTATGCCGCGTTCGAGGAGAACGCCAGGAAGTTCAAAGAGATTAGCGTGGCGCTGCGGAAGCTCTTCGGGGAGAAGTAGGGCCATCATAGCGGTTCAGCGTTTGCCTACCAAGACTTGGTAGTCAAACGGTGGCGCCTTGCGTTTGACTACCGAAACTTGGTAGTCAAACGCAGGGTCGTCGCCGTTTGACTACCGAGACTTGGTAGTCAAACGGCGACGCCTTGCGTTTGACTACCGAAACTTGGTAGTCAAACGCAAGGTCGTCGCCGTTTGACTACCGAGACTTGGTAGTCAAACGCGGGACCGCCTTCAGAAGGTCCGCGCTCCGCGGCTGCGTCGCGGGGGCCTGTCGGGCTCGTTGGGGCTCCTCCAGGGACCGATCAGGGGGTGGAGTTCAAGCCCTGGTCCCGCCTCTGTTCGACCACCCATCGGCCTCCAAGGAGGCCTATGCCCAAGGGGCAGGGGGGTCACGGGGAGGGATGGCGAGGGTGACAAGGGCGGGGGGGGGAAGGGGGAATGAGGATGACGAGATGGAGAAGGAGGATTGGCATGCCCCCCTGTCGGCCCAATCGGGCCTCCCCCACCCGCCCCCCCCACCCGATCTGAAGGTCTCTGGATGCGACCCCTGCACTTATAGACAGGCACTTCTTTGCCATGCAGCGTCGAGCCACATGTCAGTGGTTGGTCACGCTTCGTCAGGGGACCTTAATTTAATAAGTTTTGTGAGAATGTGGCCCTGAAAACTCGCGGTGAATCGTCGTGGCTCGACGCAGGCACTCGGTCAGAGCATCCTGCCCAGCGCGCGGCAACAGCGCCATGCAGCATGCTGGGCCGCGGCCCGCGAGCCGCTGAAGCACGCGACGGAGGCGCGCCCCCCGTCGCCGCCCGCGCGCAGCGCAAGCTTCCTCCTCCTCCGCCTCCTCCTCTTCCTGCTCCTCCTCCTCCTCCCCCTTATCCCCCCCCCTCCCCCCTCCGTCCCCCCCCTCCTCTGCCTTCGCCTCCTCCACAATTATACTCAATGTGAAAATACTCTCCCTCTCCCCCTGATGGCGCCCGGGCCCTGGCCGCTCATTCTCGGCGCATTGTTTTTTCACAGGTCGCCCGGGGAATCCCGGGAAACGATTCTCGCTGAGGCGCCGGCGTCATTTTCGGGCCGAGCGCCCCCCGCGTACTGTTTTTTTTTTTTTTTTTTTTTTTTTTTTACACGCAGGATTCCCGGGAAACGGGTTTTCGCTTGCGTTAAAATGATGCTCTCGCTGAGGCGCTGGCCTCATTTCTGCTCCCGAATCGTTCCGAGTCGTGCTCTCGCTGCAGCGTGGGCTTCGTTTTCGGATCGGTGTTTGGCCTCCGTCGTTCAGGATGGCGTTCTCGCCCCAGCGCGGGCCTCTTTCTCGCGCGCCCATCCGCCCGCCACCACCGCGCCGCGCCACCACCACCACCACCGCCACCACCACCACCACCACCATCGCAACCACCACCAGCACCAGCACCACCACCAGCACGAGCACCAGCACCAGCAGCAGCAGCAGCACCACCACCACCACAACCACAACCACCACAACCACGCACGCACGCACGCACGCACGCACGCACGCGCACCACCACCCACTACGCACGCGCGCGCGGAGCCGCAGGTCCGCTACGACACGCGTCCGCGGATAGAGAAAATCAGCGCCATGGTAAGGGATGGGAGGGAGGGGTAGGACGTCAGATATCACGCGAGCGCACCTAGCTTGTTCCTTCTCCTCTTCCCCCCCTCCCTCCCTCTCGCATGGTAGCTCCTCCTCCTCCTCCTGCTCCTCCTTCACTTATTCCCCCTCCTCCTGCCTCTTCTCCTGCTCCTCTTCTCCCTCCTCCTCCTCATCCTCTCCTCCTTCTCCTGCTCGCCCTTCACCTTGCGCCCCTCCCAGCGCCCTCCAGCGCGCCTCTCGGCCCCTCGGCCTTCGACCCTGCAGCGCGTGCCCAGGGGAGGGGGGGGGGCAAGATGGCGACTGAGAGATGGCGACGAAGAGGATGAAACTGAGGATGATGGGGGGCGGCGAGGATAAGGCTAATGAGGGGAGGGGGGGAGGCTAAGGCTGAGTGGGGGGGGGGGGGGGGGGTGGGGGGGGGGGGGGGGGGGGGAAAGGGTAGGGGGGGGGGCAGAGGGGGGGGGGGGGGAGACGGGATGGGGGGAACAATGAATGATGATGGGGGGGAGGGATGATGAGGATATGAGAGAAGACGCGGGATGATGACAACTGGAAATGAAGATATGGTGGTGGGAGGGGCGACGGGGGTATGTCACGGGGGGGGGGGGGGGGGGGGGGGGGGGGGGGTGGCATGGTGGTGAGATGAGGATGAGGGGAGGTGCGATGATAGGAGGACGAGGGGGGGGATGCAAGGATGATGGAGGGGCGCGAGGATGAAGATGGGGGATGAGGAGTAGGTCGGGAGGAGGGAGGTGGGATGAGGACGGGGCGAGGGATGGTGAGATGAGGATGAGAGGAGGAGGGGGTGAGATGATGACGATAGGGGGGGGATGAACGAGGATGGATGGGAGAGGGACGAGGAGCTCCTAGGAGGTGGGATAGGAGGAGTGAGGGGGGGGGGGGGGGGGGGGGGGGGTGGGGGGGGGGGGGGGGGGGGGGGGGGGGGGGGGGGGGGGGGGGGGGGGGGATGCATGTCGTCGTTCTCTTCACCCACCTCCCTCCCTCTTCTCCTGGCTTCGCGGCCTCTCTCGCTCCTCTCATGGGGTGGCCCCCCACCTCGCCCCCCTCCTTTCGTCGCGGTGCGTGCCGCGCTATCTCGCGGCGTGGACTTGGGGGTGATACGGGACGAAAGGCAGTGCGAGGATGATAAGGCTGAGGAGGAGGATGACGCGGAGGAGGGTGGCAGAGGGATGGCGATGAGATGGAGGATGAAGGAGACGGGGATGGCTTCGCGATGATATGTTCGCCCGACGAGTGGCTACGTTGCGCCGTGCGTGCGGCCCGCGCCGCAGAATGCAACGCTGCGCTATGCTCTGCTACGCAAGGCACCAGTCGCTTCCAAACCACTTTAGTTCAGCCTCCGCTCAAACTTTCAGGCCAGGTCACTACTGTCAAGCAGTCGCCGTTCCCCGTGCCAACCTCACTCCCTCTTCTCCTGGCTCCGCGGCCTCTCTCGCTCATCCCATGGGGCGACCCCCCGCCCCACCCCCCTCCATATTACGTTAACAAGGCAATGTAGGATGTCACAGAAACAGAAACACTACGATGACAACGACGACGACGCGACGGAAGGGCGATGACAACGAAAACGACGATGCTGTTATTTGCAGTGCCCTCTCAGTTCGCATATGTCGTCGCCGCCCCCCCCCCCCCCCCCCCCCCCCCCCCACCCACCCCACCCCGCCCACCCGCAACCCCCACCTCATTCACTCCTCCTTCTTCTGGCTCCGCGTCCTCCCTCGCTCATCCCATGGGGTGCCCCCCCGCCTCGCCCCAGCCGCGCCGCGTCGTCTACATTGCAGGTCGCGCACATCAAAGCATGGCGCAACGTAGTTTGAGCATTGTGTGGTTGCACGACTACACACGTTTTAGTTCAGCATTCTTGCTTGGCGTCACATAGTTTACCCATGTAGCTTGCCAGAGCATCTCGTCCGTCACCGTTTGACTCGCGAGCATGCTGGCTTGTACCGCCACGAGCCCGAAGGCTGACCCACGTCGCGGCTCGGTGGCCGACGTACGCAAGCCGAACGGCTAGTCCAAGCTGCACCTGCAGCTCACTCGTAAAGGAGATCACTAGCGCGACAGCCTTTTTTCCACGGCTCGCGGCGATGTCAGCAACAGCTCAGACGCCATGCTCCAGGAGAGCTTTGCCGACACTCTGATCAGCATGCTGAATGACATCAAATGCTCCGGGCCAGCCGAGGCCACCCAGCTCGTCGACGCTTTGAGGGGTGACCCGTACGGCGCAAATCACACCGAACGGATCATGTCTATCCTCGACGCCAAGGTCGCCAAGAGCAGCGGCTCCATCAAGCCCGAGGGCTCTAACAACAAGCAGTTGCTTAATGAGTGGTGGTCGTACTTGACAGAATCGGATTGGGAAGTGATCAATGACCCCAAGATTTCGCTGAACCGCTAGATGACGACAATGGTCGAACGCGGCATGGCGGTTGGTTGCATTGAGCCTCCTGAGCAGACGTACAAGTGGGCTTTAGCAACGTTGCTTGTCACGCATTACGACACCCCACCCGAGACGAAGAAGGTGCACAGCATGTTGATGGACTTGAAAACATCGTTCAAATCAGAGAAAAAGGATTTCGGCTTTACTCGCATCATGGATTACCCAGATTCGCCATTCGAGCTCCCGCCCGACATCTTCCAGGCCGCCTACCCAGGCGATGATCAGCCGAGCAAGATTGAGCTCAAGGGCATAAATGCAGTCGCTGACAAGATCTCGCTGCGCCCCACCAGAGGCCGGCTGAAAGCATCTATTGACTCAGATGCTACAGTAAAGTTCCAAGAAGCAAAACAAGAGCTTGGTTGCGCCCGCATCCAAGACCCAACAGCGCCCGCAGCCGACGCACATGCGGCACCACCAGCAGGGGCCCTCGTTCCATCACCGAACGACCCGTACGAGATGGGATTGTTTTACGAGCACCTGCAAAAGTTGCTTGACCACCGCAAAGAAATAAGCCAAGCGGCTGCGCAGGGCCTTCCAGCGCCTCACATGAAATCCGAGCAGCGAAGCAGCTTGGCTATCCACCGCGCTGCTGATGGGACGCTAAAGGCGCAACAAGCCGTCAAACATGAGCCACGTGTCAAGCACGAGCCAGAAGCGAAGCGTGAGGAGCAAGACGCTGAGGAGCAAGACGCTGGCAAGGGTGGGCGCGGCACCGCCGATGATGACGACGGACCGCGTGAAGAGGACTTGGGCACCCGCACCCGCGCTGCGATCCCTGCCCTCAAGAAGCGCAAAGCCAAGGCGAAGGAAGACACGAAGGCGAAAGCCTTAGCTAAGAAGGGAGCTGCTGACGCAGCAAAGGACGCCGCGGCATTGGAGGTCAAGGCTGATGCGCCACCGCGGAAACGCCCAGCAGCAGCCGCTGCTGCCGTCAAGCACGTGAAGGCTGCGAAGGTCGAGCCTGCCGAGGCTGCAAAGGGTGGGGGTAAGTCCAAGGATGCCGACTTGAAGCCGATCCCGAAGTCTAAACTCATGGGCGATATGCCGTCGTTGCCAAAGGATGGTTCGAACCCCCCGCCAGTGGCCTACAAGCAGGGAATCATCTACACAAGCGTCAAGCTCAGGCGCTTCCGTGCCCTCAGGAAGCGTGGCGATGCATGACGCTTTGCGTATCACCGCCAGCCATCGCACCCCTTTCGTCTGGATTGGTGGCGGGCATGTTGGCGCGCCGATGTCCACCCGCCCTGAAAAGCTTGATTCAGCCAACAACGGCGATGCGTTCGGTCTCTTGGGTACGTCGAGCCGCGCTACCCCCGCCCGACCAGGTTGTGACGCCGTTGCTGGTCTTATTGGGGGGGGGGAGGGACGGTGTGTTATAGCTCCTCCGCGTGAGCTCTTGGTGTAGATTTGGCAGGTTTGTTTTGCGATCACGTTGCCCGGCGGCCGCGACGTAAACCTCCTGGGCCACCCACTCAACCGCCGCCCCCCCCCCCCCCCTCCGCGCCCTCATCTAAACCGTCAGCCCCCCTCCGCACGAGCGAAGCCCTCGGACGCCACTGTGTCCAAACAGTCCCCCCTCCCCCCGCGCCCAATCGCAGGCCGCTGTGTCCAACCAGTCCAATCTGTCCAACCAGTCCCCATCGAAGGCCGCTGTGTCCAATCGGCCCAATCAGTCCGCCCTCCCCTCCTGCCCTTTTCACCGCTGCCTGTGCGTTCCACGCCTTCACCTCGGTCGTCTTGGGATCGGGTCGTCGATTGGCAATGATGGCCATGGGCGGGCGGGGCGGGCGGTGTAGGTAACAAGAGCATGATGTCACATAATACGCCTGAAGCCTCGCGTGGGCTGGTCGGGCTACTACTCCGAGAGCTCCAAAGCTCGGGGGGGAGGGGGGGGAACTAAGCCGACCTCTGAGGCGTGGGCTGCAGCAGTGAAGGCGATCGACGACGCCTAAGTCATGAGACGCGCATGGTGCCCCTATCATATAGCCAGGCTTTCCGCCGAACGTACAAGCACTCCGTGCTGCATCACTTAGCGCACCTGGCTGTCGAGAACGAGTCGTGAGGCATGTCTCAAGAAAAAAGCATGCATGTTCGTCACGTCGTCAGTCGTGCACCCTTGTTATGAAGCAATTGCTGGCGTTCCGTCCGTAGCCCGTTTCTCTCAGCATGCAATCGGGCCGCTCAGCGGTTTGGGCCTACTCGGATGGAGCCGACGCGGGCTGTCAAGCTGCGCAGGCTGAATGAGTTCCGCCGTGCCAAGCCTCACTGCACAGCTTCTGCCTCGGCTGCAATTCTGGAGGACGTGAGACGTAATGGGGCCCCAGAGGTCATATATCGGAACTCCACGCGGGCCGCGAGAGATGCCGTTACCACAGCTGTCGGCGAATACGGCCCCATTTTGTAATCCGTCACGTGTATTAATGCAGAGGGCGAGCCAACTAGCATACCCATCGCCTGCCCGTTCGCATCCTTAGCGGCAGCTGCCGAAGAGAGCGCGCCATTTCGGAAATTCTTGAAGCGTCAGCTGATGCTTCACCCGTCGACAACAGAAAAGCCATGGAACTTCATGTTGTATTCCGACGAAGTTACCCCAGGGAACCCCTTATCACCCGCGAACCAAAGAAAGTTCCAATCTATATATTGGAGCTTCTTGGAATTTGGCGTGAGCGCGCTCAGTCACGAAGAGAGCTGGTTTGCGCTGATGACTGAGTTCTCCAGATATGTGTCTTCTCTTTCTGCTGGGTTAAGCCAAGCATTCGCTGAGTCTATCAAATGCTTTTTCAAGCCTGATGGCTTTCATTTCAAAGGCGGCGGCATGGCCCTCGACTTAGACAGGGATAGCTTCAGGCTGTTTGCTAAAGTGGGCGTGGTGTTGCAAGGCGGCGGCGCCCATAAAACTGCATGACGAGCAAGGGCGACAGCGCGTCCAATTTCTGCATGCTTTACAAGAACATATTCACACCTGATTCTAGGGTTGTTGACGAGGACGGCTCAGCAATGTTGCGCTGCAGCGAAATACATCTCGATCAGCTCGTGGCGCCCACGGACCACGGGCTTCGCGCTAACGCGAGGTATTTGGAACGCGTGTCGCTGACCTTGTCCAATGATGACTTTGTCTTGTTGCAGCAAGCATTAGGCTTAACGTTTGCTAAGCGGGGCTTGCTGCTCGATAGGGCGTTGGACAGGCTGGTCAACCCAACAGAGGTGTTTATGCATGACTATATGCACGCGCTCTTCGTCGACGGTGTCGTGAATCTGGTGATTACCTTACGTTCGAAGCCTTCATATATTCTGGGCTTAACGGCGTGTGGGAGTCATTCTCGGAGTTCTTGGCAACTTGGGCGCTTCCTGGGCGATATCACGCTACACAATTAGATATCATCTTTAATGCTGATCGGAAAGACAAACGCAGAGAGGCACAGCACGTAAAATGCCAGGCGTCTGATTTATTGACTATCTTTGGCGCGCGGATGCTGTTCAGCCAGACGGTCCTGCGACCCATGGGGGGCAGCCAGCACAGCTTGCGACGCTATGATAGCCCGCGTTCAACTGTCGGAGCTGGTAGTTGCAACCAGTCGGACCGACGCGTGCCCAGCGAGGCTTATGGGTTGTGTTCGCAAGTTCTTGGAAACATTTACTGCTGCGTTCGGGCATGAGTGCTTGACACCCAAGTGCCACTGGCTTCTCCACCTCCCTGAGATACTTGAGAAAAACGGGCGGCTCTTAAATTGCCTTGTCCTTGAGAGGAAGCATAGGATGCCAAAAAGATACACCACCGAATTGGCGAACATCTCTGGATCAGCCAGCAAGTCGCTGCTGAGCGAGTGCGTTGCCCACCACCTTTCTGCAGTAAAACGCCACAGCTTTGATTGCGATGTCGGCTTGGCGCAGGGACGCAGAGCCCCAAAGAAGAGCAGACAGCTGATAATGGACGCATTGGGGCTGGACGGCGACGATGTCCCAGTCAACGTGGGCAAAGATTCTCGCTTCAGCCAGCTCGGCTTATGCACTCAGGGGAGCGTTGTGCTTCTAAATGGCCCCGATGGCATACTGGCCGCCCGCGTGACATTGCATGTCGAGGTCAGTGGAGAAGCTGTTTATATGATGGAGGTCATGGAGCTGTCTCAACGCATCCGTGGTACTGCAAAGGCAGTGTGGAAAATGTCTGAGTCTCCAGTGCAATGCTGGGAGACTAAAGCCATCTTGGCTGCAGTAGATCACTGCGCATGCGCAGACGGCACCGTCGGCGCCATTCTGCCACTAGAGTTTCAATGATGGGATTTGGTGACGCGTTGCGCTCAGGAAACAAAGCCATTCGAATACGCTGCGCGCGCCGCCGCACAGCCCATTCAGAAACGACGCCTCGGCGAACGCGCACGTTTAAGCCATTGCGGCTGAAGGCAACGAACAGGAGAAGGAGGATTAGAAATGAGGAGGGGAGGCATGCCTGCTCCGCTTCTCCTTCATCCTCCTGCTTCTCCTTCTCTTTGTCCTGCTCCTGCTGCTCCTCCCCCTCCTCTTGCCCCTCCTCTTGCCCCTCCTCCTGCTCCTCCTCCTTCTCCTCCTCCTTCTCCTCCTCCCCCTCCCTCCCCGCGTCTAAAGCGATCAAAGACGTGCCGAAATCGAGGCCGAAGGCGGCATGGGGCGGCGGCGCCGCGCCGAAGGCGTTGAAACTGAAGTTTAGCTCGTATCCAGTGGTGCAACAAATGTCGTGCTGCAACCTATTTGGTTCATCCTTGTGGCGCAACCTACGTGGGGAAACCTACGCGGTGCAACCTGCGTGGTGCAACCTGTGTGGGGGGCCCTATGTGGTGCAACCTGTGCGGCGCAACCTACGTGGCGCATCCTACGCGGTGCAACCTATGTCGCGCAACCTACGTTTGCGCAGGAGAAGGAGGGATACGCATGAGAAAACATTAGTGTCATAGTTTGCATATCTCGACGGCTAAATTTCTATAAAGTTTATAAGTCCGTTGCTGATAAACGCATGATAAATTTTATAAGTGCGCTAAACTTTAGCTAAACCTCATAAACCTTAACAAACCCAAGATGCATCTCAGCTCTCCACCGGACGTGGCACGGAGTGCGCCGGGGTGGCCGCTCCTGCGCGAAGAATTGGTACTTGCGCCGGTTGCACGCGGGGGTGGGCCACTGACGTGCCGCCAGGTCTCGTCGGCCGCTCCCTCCCTCCCGGGGACCGTTGCTAGCCCGCGCTGCCTTCGCTGGCCAGCCGCCTCCACGCGGCGCGTCCGCGTGGGCAGCCTCATCCAACACTTAGTCTATCAGTTGCCATTGGGGTGCAATTCTGCGCCTTGCCAGTCTCACGCCGTTGGGGCTTTCTTGCGCGCTCTCTATAGTTAAGCGTGCTCGATTAAGATCATCTGAGCTGGGATGGCCTATTGATTTCAATGACTTGTCTGGCTGCCCCCCCCCTCCTTCCTCCCCGCCCCGCTTGCAATTCGAGCTCGATTGGTTTTCAATGTTGGATGGAGATGCGAGCTGCCTCCGTGCTCCAAGGTTCATTGTCGTTGCCGCTGGCGCGAATTAGCTGGTTGTGTGTTTCCTCCTCGTCCTCGTCCTCCTCGTCCTCGTCCTTTCCCGATTACCCGAGCCCGGAGCTACTGCAAGTTTTTGCCTTCTTCACTGCGCTGCTGTCGGCTTGCGCCCCGGGGGAACGCCCTCTAGAGGGGCAGCGGATTTCAAGAGTGGCGGAGCGATCGACTCGAACCTTCAAGCGATTTCGCTGCGGGAAAAATTAGCCTGGCGAAGGACCCAACCATATGCAGTTCTGAATGCCGCAATTGTGCTGGGTGGTGGCGGACGCATGCGGGCGGTGCCGCTGGGACCTTCGGTGGAGCTCCCTATGGGGCCACGAAACGCTGTACTGGGTGGGTGAGACGCGGTCAGCAAGGGCTGTGCTGCGTGGTGGCGGACGCATGTGAGCGGTGCCACTGGGGCCTTCGGTGGAGCTCCCTATGGGGCCACGAAGCGCTGTAGTGGGTGGGTGAAACGCAGGCAGGGAGCAAGGGCTGCGCAGGGGCGGTGCCGCTGGGACCTCTGGTGGAGCTCCCTATAGGGCTACGAAGCGCAGGGAACAAGGGCTGTGCTGGGTGGTGGCGGACGCAAGCGGGCAGTGCCACTG